CATGTTTAAGATGGTTACTTTTATGTTATGTCTGTCCCCTGAATACAAAAAAAAAAAGGCAGAAATGGAAAAGAAAGGAAATGAGCAATTATTGAGTTACTGCTACATACTAGACTCCATGCTAAGCTTACGGATTATCCACTTAAATCCACTAAACAACTCTGAGCTATTATCCCCATTTGAGAGGTGAGCAAACCAAGGTTCACATGACTTTGTTTTTACAACTAATAAGACACGGAGCTGGAATTAAGACCAAGGTCTGTTGACTCCAAAGCTTACACTCTCCAGCACAACCCACCCTCCAAAAACCTTCCATAGGTAGCCCCTCACTACTCTCTCCATGAGGGTCCATGTTATTGATCAAGAATACAACACAGCTCACCAGATACTCCTTCAAACCCGCCAACCCTCCAGAGAAAAATACTCAAATTAAACATTTCATTTTTGTACCAAGCCCTCCCTGAAAAAAAAAATGCCTATTCTTGAAAAGGCAGGAGAAACCAACTTTCTCTGTGCTACCCTGGCCTCCACAGATTTACAAGTCCTGACCTAAGTATAGATAGAGGCTTTTGTTTTTGTTTTTGCTTTTGTTTTGACAATTGGGACAAAAAGGCTGAAGACAAAGGTACTCCTAAGAGAGAAAGCACTGGTATTTTGACTAGGGCAGATCATATAATTCCACGAGGGCAGATTTTAAGAAGTGAAGAGGGTGGGGGCAGACAGGATAAAAACTAAACCTGCCCTTCCTGAGGCCACACAGGGAGTCAGTCACAAAGCAGCAAGACTTGATCAGGGTCTTGTTTCTGTCACTAACTATCAGGGAACTTCAGGCAAGGCCCAATGTTCTCTAAATGTTCTGTGATGGTGTAAATCCCGCTTTATAAACTAGCCCAGGGCCAGCTGCATTCGCATTCCTATTAATGGTAGGCACAGCAAAGTCCTTAGCCAATCCATAAAGTGTGGTTGTGTTTACACTTACAGGGATCCTGTTGTGGTAGAAGAATTGGAACACACTTTGGAAATGTGAAACCTGTTTTCAATTACTTACAGCCATTCATGGTCCCAATTCAGGCAAAACTTTTATTTAAATAAATAATTGGCCTGGGCCCGAGAACCATAATTCATGGACCTACAAAGTTTAAATGTGCCGATCGGTAGTCCCTGTGTTAGGTTTTCACAAGTGACATGTTGCTATCTACATATGCATGGTATTGGGCTAAGACTTATTCAAAGCAGGTGACACTGATGTAGGTGTGGCTCACCAGACACTCATTTTCAAGGCAGGAGCTTACTCAGCTGATTTTGGACAGATATTCCACACTTCCTCCTGCATTTTCCTTTGCTGAAATCCTGATCAGGATCCTACCACTCACATTAGTGTCGTTTGACTTCCTGGGGGAGATACTGCTGAATGTTAAAACCCACAATCAACACTCCAGAGTATTTGAAGAAGCCTCTCTTCTTCCATTCCATTCCTTTCCTTTGTCTTTGCCACTGTGGAGGATTTCTCTAACTTGCCGGTGGACTAGAAGCCCTTTGCTTTGTAAATAAAAAACTGTCCTTCAAGCTGTTCAATCTGTCAAAGCCTTTGTGATGCTGTGGTCACTTTAATGCTGGATACATTCAATGTTGGATAAGGGTCATATAGAGAAAAGCCACAAACAATTCAATGGTAAAGGTATGGTGATTAGCAACACACAGAACAAACTCCCTAAGGCAGAACCTTAAAGAGTAAGTCACTGTTTGAGGACAAAGGGGGAAATAATAGGGAGAAAGCCAGGTTGGATTCAGTCCAGAAACTGGTTATCCAAGAAAATCTGTACCCCTTTTCCTTTGGGGACATAAAGGTCAATAGTTCCTTAGTATATTGAAGGCTGGAATTGTGCCTCACAGATCTTTGCTCTAGTCAGCTCCCTAGTATAGTGAGTGCTCGCTCACCAAAAGTTAGATGGTGATGGGGAGGTGGCAATGATTACAACAATGAGTTCAATCATTTGACAAAATGTATCAATCCATACGAACTTCTTTTCACGCTGTTTCCTCACAAAATCTCCCATATTTTCTGAGAGTCTGTTCCATATTAGATCTGGACACGCCATGTGGATAGAATTAAGGTAAAATATGGTCTGTGAAATACGGACACCACCGTCAATGGCCGTGGTACTTGATGGGGGGGGGCGGGGGGGGGGGAGGGATCTGCCCCCTAGGGGACATTTGACAATGTCTGGAGACATCTGGGGTTGTCACAAGGTGGGGGTGTTACTGTCATCTAGTCGACAGAGGCTAGAGATGCTGCTAAACATCCTGCAATCCCAGGACAGCCCCTCACCATTAGGAATCGTGTGGCCCATGATGTCAGTACTGCCCAGGTTGAGAAACCCTGCCTAAAGGGGAAAAGAAAATGCCTTTACTCTCTGGGTTTCTCATATCAATCTCACTTTGCCTCCAATATCACAACAAACTCTGGTCTGTATGTCCCGCTTACCACTCTAGTCAAGGCTAGTAGTAGGCATAAAGAGAGTGCCTCAGAATGTTTAAGTCCCAATGGCATTTTGAAGTCATATCGGGATGGTGTTTCAACAGGCCAGGCCATGTGAGTAAACCTCGCCTAGCAGCCAGGTAAATCTACCTTAAATTACTCAAAACCACTTCCATTTGGGACTTTGAACCACTTCTGCAGCTGTAGCCTCTGGTTGCAAACTGCCTGAGGAGAATTCAAAGAAACATTCTCAGCCACCAACTAGAAAACTTGAGTGTTTCCATATTCACAGAGAGGATGAACCTCTCAGCCCCAAGGCTCGCAAACAACCTAGCCCAGCTCAGGCTCCCGCCCAAGTCTGCTTCTCAATTGCATTAGGAGATCCCCCAGTAGGTTTGTCCTGGTATTGGTATAGTGATGCCTGACATTTGCATGGTGTGCTTTCAACTTTGGAGAGGATTTTCTTTTGTATGTCTTTGGTCTCCTGAAGAGGTTAGCAGGGTAGGGTGGGCACCAGAAGAAAATCTGGGTCTTATGCACAAATCCACCGGGAAAACACCACAACTCAAAAACACCCATAATCTCCATATGTTAAAGGCAACTGCACTATAGACAAGGCCTTTGAAGGAGAAGGCTCACAAGAAAAGGACTTTTCTTCTCTCCCTGTGCGTTGCTCCTGGTTATATCCTAGGCTTGGCTTAGAAGCCTCAGCTAAACTACCCTTTGGTCAGAGAAAGGGAGATGCCCCAAGGTCTTGTCCAGAGCCACATAACCTACTCACCCCTCTAGCCAAAAGAAGGACCCGCTCAATTGCAACATTGACCTCTTTTGTCTGGAAGGCTGTATGTACATTTGAGGTTGTTGGCCACAGTAAAACTCCCTTTGAAAGGGAGAAAGGCAGAAAGGTTTAAACACTTCAGGAAGTACATTAGGCCATGATGTAGATGAAAAAAAAAATCACTCGATTCTGGAACCGTTCTGCCTCACCCTTGTCCCTCCTCGCTCACACAAACACACACCCTTCATCCCCCAGGCAATACTTTTCTCTGATGCCTTGCTCCCACACAAAGCTTCAGACTCTCCAGAATATTGGGCCACATCAGGGTGAAGGAGAATGAGGACAACAGAAAAACTTGTCTTGCTCGGTGCCCCGAGGGACTTTCCCAGGGTAGCCTAGGAGAGTTGCTAGGGCTCACACTAGACATAACTACGCCAGCTTCAATGACAAGGCAATGCAACACTTGGCCATTTAGACCGGGCAGAAGGTTCTGGCTCTTTCTGGAGGTCGACTCGGGCTCAGAGCGTGCGCGCAGGCGACAGCTGAAAGAACAGTGGAGCATTCTCTGAGCTCCGGATTACTGTGGGAATGGGTAGGGAAAAGGGTTTCAGGTACCAGCCCAGCGCTCAGAAAGGCAGAGCCTCGCACCCTCCTTTCCGAAGAAAGGTAGTGAAGGAAATAAAAGACAAAGCCGAGCTTTGGGGCTGTGGGGTCGGGCCACGACATGCCGCCAGCTAGTGGACCTGAGTGCCCGCAGGTTGCAGGTAGTAGTCGCAGGCTTGTGGTGGGGGTGGAGCATTTAGGCTGGTCCCGGGAAGGTTCAAGACGGTCTGCGTTCTGGGCGCTAGAGAATAAGGTCAGAGATGGGGGGGTGGGGGTGGGGGGCTGCCTCACCTGACACAAAGGCGCAAAGATCAAAGAGTCGCCCAAGTGTCCGGTGACGCTGCCCCCCCCACAACACACACACATAGAAGCCACTGCCACCACTAAGCAACTTACTCCCTCATCCTACAATAGCACTATCCGTCCCCACTCACCACCCCGCTTCAATCTAGACTGGTCTTGGCAGGACCGACCCTAAGGGTGAGAGGGACACCAATGGGGAAATTGGGCTAGCTCCCGGGCTGCCCGCACTGGGTTACACTAGACCCGTCAAGGACCGAAGCCAGCCCAGACGACCCCAGGTCAGCCCCTGGCGACTCAGGGTCCCACTGTCCGGCTGTCCACAGCCGCTAGCACACGCTCTCACTGGCTCAACTACCCTTCCCCCGGGACGACCCGTGGCTGCCAACGCAGCCCCACCAGCACCAGCACCGGGCCTGCGCTGGGAGGGGGGGGGGGGGTCACTGTCCAAAGCAAGGGGTACTCAAGCCAAGGGGGCAAAAAAGAGACTCTGCAAGCCAACCGCCCCGAGGCGCTCCGGTCGCCTCTACCCGCGCCCGCGCTCGGCCCCCCGCCCCAGTCTCTGCCACCACCCAGGGGAGGGGGAGGCCCGGGGAGAGCAAACGAACGAAACAGAAAATTCCGTACCGAGGGGGGAGAGATGAGGCGGTGGGACGGGGCAGCGGGGGCTGACTTGGGGCTGCGGCTGCGGCTTCCTTCCACCCCTGGCCACCGAGCTGCAGAGAAGGCAGTAGCTGCTGCCCCTGCAGGCTGCCCCGTCCTCCCTCTTTCCCTCCCCCTTCCCCGCCTCCCCCGCCCCGCCCCGCCCGCCCCTGCCGAGAGCTGGGGGTGTGTAAGGCCTTGGCCGGCCGGGGCTGGGGGAGGTGAGAGGTGCTTTAGCCATCCGCCGCTTTCTCCCCCTCCATACACACACACACACACACACACACACACACACACACACGCACGCACACCCCTCAACCGCGACGGGTTCTCCGCAGCTCGCAGACACCCTAAGGGAGGGAGAAAGAGAGAACGGGAGCAGAGGGAAGCCGGGAGCAGATAGAAGGGAGAAGGAAGAGCTCAGGGTTGGACATTTTTGGAGCTAGGGGTGGGGAGGAGAAAGGGAGCGTACCTCCTCGATTTTCCCCTCCCCACCCCTCTCTGCTTTTCTCTCCCCTTCGTTGTATAGCATTTTCCAGAAGCGGCAGCGGAAGGGGACAGAACCCTTTAGTCTAGAAAGATTTGGAGGGGTGGCCGGGTCTCCCGCCAGCCGCTACCCGGCAGCCGGAGCTGGGGTGTGCGTCTGTGCATGTCAGAGTGTAAATGCGGTTCTCTCTGTGTGCCTCGCTCTCCCTGTCTCGCTCTCCCTGTCTCTTCTCTCTTTCTCTCTCTCTCGCTCACACACCCGTGCCGGCTCCCCTTGTCCGTTTCCCCGTGTCAGTTTCTTCCCCTGCTCCTGCTGTGCGGCTGGCGCCGTGAAGGGCGTGCGTGCCCTCGGAGCGGCCCAGGTGGGGTCAGACAGCGGGGAGAAGCGAGAGAGCACACGGCAGGGGGCGGGTGGCGCCAAGAGTTTGGGGGCGCTGACGGAGGCGGAAGGTGAGGAGGGCCGGCCGGCCACAGGGAAGTTTGGGGATAACTGAGGAGCGAAGGGACAAAAACCAAGGTAGGACCAGCACTTGCGCCTCTCGCCGCACCCCGCCCCTTTCCCGGTGCTGCTCTGCCCACCGCTGGGCAGCCTCCAGGCCCGGGGCTGTCCCGGGCGGCTGCTGTTTGCGCGCCGCCGCCGGTCGGAGACCGAGTCCGGTAAGGCGGCCGCACCGCGCGCCTTGGCTCGCGGACACCAGACGACGCAGATCCGAACAGACCGATCGGCCCGGGGTAAGTCGACAGGCGGCCCTGTGCCCTGTGCTTCGCTGCAAGAGAGCACTGCCATAAGGGGTGGCGAGGTGCGGGTTAAGTGAGGGTGCTGGGATGCTGAGGGCTGGGAGGCGCTGGCTGGCTGGCTGGCTGTGGGCTGGGGTAGTGGGGAGCAGAGCAAAGCCAGCAACAGATTGTTTTGGGACACAGGAAGAGAGATGCGATGGGGTTACAGCTCTCAGGGGTGTTAGGACAAGGTGGCTCTTGGCAATGACCAAAACATCGTTTTCGTTCCGGATGCTCTCCTAAACCAGAGCTCTGCCCTACCCCCTGGACAGTGATGTGCTCCATCCCTGAGGAAGTATCCAGCTCCCTGGGGAGCCTGCTCCCAGGCTTCCTCAAAATCCTCCTGGGAGATGGGCATGGGAATAAGGACCCTAGCCCTTTTGCCAAAAGCCACTTTAAAAAGAGAGCTGGGGTGAACTCATGAGAGTCCTTTTACCTTCTTTCTGTTTTATATCTTTCAAACTTAAGAAATGACCAGATTCATTTTTCTGGCTTCCTTAAAGGCACTAGGAAAGGCAAATGGGGGGGGGGGGCATCAGTCA